GATAGCTGGATTAAGGGAGAGGCTTGTTTTGTTGTATTTTGAGAAGCACCGAAGCACAGCGGTCCAGTGCCTGGATGCCAATATCTGCTTCGCCTCTTACTAGCTGTGGGACCTCAAGTTTCCTCATTTATAAAGTGGGGGTAGTACTAACACTTGCCTTCCACAGCTTTTGTGAAGATGTAAAGTGCCCGGTGTGTGGTAAGCTCTCCGAATAGGCATTTGCTCCTGATGTTGTTTTACGAGCTGGAAGGTCTGAGTGCTCGCATGTGTTCTCCCCGAGAAGGGAGAGGGGGTGATGAATGAGAGAGGGTGCTTGCTTGAGTGAAGACGTTTTTGTGCTCTTTCCATATCAGTAAATCACTTCAGTAAAATCAGTATCTTTTAATCAGGTTCCTGCTCATCGGAGTGGCATTTGTGCTACAGTTGAAATAACATCTCTGGGCCTCGGTGTCCCTGTGTGTAAAATGACATACTATTTTTTGATGATGACTAAATTTTTCTTCAACTAAGAAATTCTCTGTGCCCTCTTTTGTTTCAGGTCATCGTTAATCTTAGCTTTGTTTAAATTTTTAAGCCAACAAAAGAATGAATGGGAATGAACAGAGGAAGCCAGTTAGGTTTCCCAAAGAAAGACCTATTTCCTGTACAGAGACTTTTGTAGCAGCAGTAACATCAAGATACCCTGTATAAAACCAGCTCTTTAAATCAGTATGATGGAATTTCCTTTTAGATGCTGACTTTGTCAAAGCATTAAAAATGTGTGCTAGTAAAAGTTGGCAAATGTATTGTTGTTTTATTGAACAGTAGAAGAGTCTAAATGTTATTTTATGGAAAACTTCATTTCCTGCCATGTGTTTTAGCTTAGGACATGGCTAGTTGAGGTTTCAGTTGCGAAATCTTTTGATCTGTTAAGTATGAGAACAAGTACAAATGTTAAAACATGAAGTTTCTCCATCATGTTTTACTTATTCAATCAAAGTAAAGAAAAAAATGGCATACAACAAGGCCCATGATTACAGATCTTAATCATGTGAAACTAGCTTCAGAATAAAATAAAGATGCGGCCTTCAAAACGATTTTGCTAGAAATTTTCATATAGTGTGCAGTATTTGTTTTAATTAGATAAAATAAAGAGTTAACAGGGAGACATGTCTTTAAAAATCAGGAATTGTTAAAGATATTCTGTGTGCCCAGTTGTAGCAGTTTTGGCCAGATCATGAAGACTAACAGCAGCAGGTATATGTCGGTGCGTAGTACTCGAAACGGCATAAAGCATCTGGCAGCGTTTTTGGTCATAGAGACTATCCACTTGGAAATAGGACTTTTTCAGTATAAACTGTAGCTTCTTTCCCTTCTTCACTGAATTTTGTATTTGGACACCAGCGAATGATGGGTGACTGCATCCCACATAGACCAGTGTTTGATTGTGAAGCGTGCTGGCTGACATGTCTCAGTTGACGTCCCGTGTTCCTCTGTCTCCTCCTCCCCTCCATTGATGATGATTGTTGGTTTTTCTGCCACCAGGTGACTCTGTGGGATGTGCCTAAAGCGTACTTGGATCTAGTTTTGTTCATGACTCTGACAGATGCCAGTTAAGCTGTTAGAAATGTAATAATCTAGCTCTTGGCTGTGTTTCATTATTACATTGAAAGAAAATGAATGTTTATAAAATGAACATTTCTTTTTTAACTTAAGTAAACTTAAGAAAAATGAGAGGAATAATGTAAGGGAGAGCCCTCTGACGACTCTTTTTACTTGTCTTTGTAATAGGTGTGAAAATTGAGTGCGTGCGGCAAGCAGAGAAGGTTGCTGCTCCACTGCGGAGACCCCTGCCCTCCCTGAGCTCTCCCACAGTTTTGAACATGAATCTAGATGGTCTGTAGAGGTTCCCACCCCACCCCCAACTCTTTTTTTAAGAAACGAAAGGCCCCTGAACTTTTAACTTGTTAGAGTTTTCATTTATTCTGCAAATACCCACTGAATCTTTCTGTGTGTCGGGCTCTGTGATTGATTTAGGAAGTTGGTATAGATGTAAATTCTACCTACTACCTGGTCTCAGGAGGCCTGAGGTCAGTGTGGTTGAAAGGACATGTTCATGCATATTTATATTTCCATTAATATGTGCTAAGAATGATAGTCAACATTTTATGAGTTGCAGTGGGAGGATGGAGGGAAGAGGAGGCTCTGAGGCAGAAGGGAGGGTCCGGACTTGAGCAGGGCCTGGAGGGGCGGGCGAGGTGTCCGCAGGCAGGACTGAGAGTGTGGTGCGTACTGCATGGCCCAGGCAGGGTTTTGGGAGGTGGGCAAGTGTCAGGTGCGTTTGAGGATCAGCAAGTTGTCCAGTTTGGCTGGTAGAGCAGTAGCACAGTAGGAGGGGCTTCAGCTGGTATGAATCAAAGAGGCCTTTTAGCATTGTTTTATATTGGTCATTGAGTGTTAGCCTTCGGAGGTTTTTGAGCTGGAGAATAACTCAGGTCAGAACATGAGGAATACGCCTCTGTTGGTGCTTTGAGTGACACAGGAAGGAGGCTAAGGGAGCAGCAGTTCAAGTGAAAAGAAAGAAGCTCTTGGCTTCAGATGGTGGCGGGTGCACAGGGGGAGGGAAAGACATGAACTAAATTCATGGAACTTGGCCGTGTTAGTGACATAACGCCTGGAAGAGGCAAAGTGCGCGTGTGCATGTGTGTGTATGCCAACTGAACATGGATTTGACTTGATTGAGTCCAGGATGGGTCCAGAATTGGAATCCTGGTGATGGAAAGCAGCTGATTTTGTGGGGCCCTCTGAGGGCAGGAGAAGCCTCCATCTGTGCCTCACCAGTGCCAGGAGCCGTGCTCAGGATATGTTTGCGAATGAGTGTGGTGCATTTAGTCGTGCGCATGAGTGAGTGTATCCTTGGAATGACACCAACAGGTGATTAAGGGCCAAGCAGACTGGGATTTGAATCCTGACTCTGCTGTTCCCAAGTCATCTTGAACAAGTTACTGAACCTTTCAGTTTCCTCAACTGCAGAATGGAGAATAATAACACTGTTTCTTAGGATATAACATGATTATTCACGTTAGCTGAATATATTAATGCGCGGTAAAGGGTTAACCCAGCATCTGGTACACACCTGAGGTGAATGCTCCTCAGACGTTGGCTGCTGTGACTCACACACGAGAGTGTAATGTGAACCTGTGACTGGCAGAAAAGTAACGGTGAATTTGGGTGGGGGTTAGTAGATTTGGGAATGCTTCAGGGCCTCGGCAAAGAGGTGGGAGAGGGAGCGGGAGTGAGGCAGTTCGGAGAAAGCGCCCCCTGAGGAAGTGGGAGGTAAAGGAGGGCCGCAAGGGACCTGAAGAGTCCAGCATCAGCTGTCCCAGGCAAGGATTACGGGCCAGCAGCGTTACATGTGCTTTGCATATATTACCTCACTTAATCCTCCCAACAACTCTACAAGGTATAGGTGTTGTTATTCCCATTTTACAGCTGAGCGGGGCCAGGTAGTAACCTGCCCAGAGTCACACAGCTGGCAGGAAAGTGGTGGAGCCAGGATTCCACAGCAGGAAATTGAGCTGTAGAGCCAGGCTCTCCCAGCCATACTGTGCTGCTTCCTTTTATTTTGTTGCTGAATCCTTTACAGTGTCCAAATGGCAGTAGATACCATATCTGATCAAACAGAAGGTCTAGAGAGAGAGAAATTGAGCATGAAGGAGCAGGTGGGAGCTGGGGAAGCCGTGCTCCGGAGAGGTGGGAGGGGCCGGGATGAAAAGTGCAGGTGGGGGGTCAGCAGTGGAGACTCACCCTGCTTGCGCTCAGGGAGAGGAGAAAGAGAACTGGCAAAATACAGAGAGAGAGGCCAGGCATTTACAGGAGCAAGAGAAAGGTAGAAAAGTTTATTTTGAGGTGGTGAGGGAGACCACTATCCATCGTGAGAATTTTCCAGTGGATTGTGAAGAATTGTCTCCCACCCATGGTTTGATTAGACCTAGTCCTGTGGGGGAAAAGGGGCTGACTGAGCTAGTGTTAGGGTCGGAGGTTCGTTGACCTTGAACAGATCGCGAAGGCACACCACGGTAGAGCCGTGAAGGTGACACCATCCAAGGAGAATGACCTTGTTTTGGTCACCTGCTATGATTTGATTTGCTGCAAGTGGAGTTGAACAGCAATAGACGTTGAAGAAAGAGTCATACTGTCTTCTTTACTACTGTTGTGAAAATGTCCCAGGTTCAGGGAGGAAGAGACAGCTGAAGGCAGAAGACACAGAGAATGAAGGAAGTGGAGGCAGTCTGAGGGTGGAAAGGCATGGATGGCACTTGCCTGAAGAGTGCCCAACTCAGACCCGTCTAGGATTCTCTGGAAGGCAGATATGTCATTTAGAACAGTGCGTCTCAAACTACAGTATCCGTGGTGAAGGGCTGTTAATTTTAAGGTTGTGGACTGTTTATGTTTTATAAAACAAAGACATAGGATGCCAGTTCAATTTATTTGCTTTTATTAGGTTCAACAGATAGATAATTTGCTCTGAAATTGTTAAAGTAAAGATTTTAAGTGCTTGCTTTTAATTTCTGAAGTTTGCTTGCTGTGGACTTCTTGCAGGTACAGAACAAATGCAGGCTCATGGCTAACAGTGGGCCTCACTTTGCGTAGGTCGTACTCACAGAAAATTTGGATGCCAGGCAGCTGGTTTACAGGGCTCCACTTCCCTGAGCAGCTCTCAGAGTGCCCAGCCTGGTGGTTGGCACATGCTAGACACACAAAAAATAAATGCCCTGTAAGAGATGATTTTTGTATGCAAAATAGAATTCAGTTAGTATTTTAGCAAGTCTTTCAAAAACAAGATGTTCACCTGGGTGATAGGCAGAATTTTAAAGCAAAGTATGCTTTACCTTGTTTTGCAATTAAAAAAAAAAACACATCTTTGTAGATTTTCAAAAAACTGGAGTTACCAGAAAGCCACGATCCGCTCCTCGCGTTGTGTACGCCCTAACCTCACCGCAGTCATCTTTTGACTCCAGGTTGTGTCAGCAGCGAAGGTGTGTGGAGCAGCCCGCGAGTCACCCTCTGTGAAGAGGCTCCGCCTGCTTGTTGCTGATAAAGATTTTACTTTTAAAGCTGGCCAGTGGTAAGTGGCTTTTCCGTTTCTTAAGTGATCTGTGCGTTCAGGAAGGTGCCATTAGATAAAAGGGCTTATTTTTCTCTCTGGAAAGGACTTCTGTGGCCAGCTCTTTCTCCCGAGGGGTAGGAATTCTAGACCATCTCCGGTCAGGGTGAGCCCTGTTTGGCACGGAGAAGCTGGCTGCTTTCCTAGCCTCAGCGCGTACCTCTGTTTTGAGCCCACGACCCTCCCAGTCATAGGTGAAACTTGCTGCCTTGAGTTTTTCAGATGGAAACAAAGGAGGTAGTCCTGGTCCGCGGACCTGACAGCTCTAATAATTCTGTCCTGTAGCATGATGGCTGCTAATAAAATGCACTGCAGTAATCTAACCTTGAGTTACGTTTTCAAAAATTAGTGTTCCTTATGTCAAATACAGAGGAAATACAGCGGCCTGAACAGAATAACCCGTATGTCACAGAGCTGACCACGTTCCCGACCGAATTCCTGCATCACCCATATCCTGTCCAGGCTGACTTTGCTGTCAGTGCTGGTGTTACTATCAGGAGCCCCAGTCAGGCCCAGCGCGCCCCGGGTGACAGCCCTGCCACCCTGCCCGCTGCCCGCCCAGGTGACAGCCCCACCGCCCTGCCCGCTGCCCGCCCGGGTGACAGCGCCGCCGCCCTGCCCTGCTGCCTGCACACGGCCTCACAGAGCTGCATTTCAAGTTGAATTCTAAATAAACCAACTTGTATTTCCCTAGGAAAGGTGTGTTTGCGTGTATGTTTCCTCTATTTAAATAAAGCATTCATTTCTCAGTGGATTTCTGGCATGTCAATCTCGGTGGTATTTCTTAGGGGTCACTTGACTAATTTTGGCAGTCCATCTGGAAATGTGGCTTTGTTAGAAGGAGGATGTGTGATAATAGCAAGTGTGATAATAGCAAGAGTTAGCAGTCTTGTGTTAATAGTTTGCCTTTGAATTTAGAACTAGAAAACAAGATGCTGATTGCAATAATTTGCGTTTGTGAAGCAATTTACTGCAATCTTTGCACATGTTCAGTGATACATATTAAATGCATTTGGGCTGTTTAGGGGGGGCTGGGCAACGTTTTTACCCTTCAAAAATAGTTTAGCAGTTACTACATTGAAAAGTGGAAACTTTAATTGTAACGATCTGCCTTTCCATGTTTCCCTTGTTTGTGTCCTGGGCACAGCATTGCCTCTGTGCCTTCAGTTCTGAATTGTGCTGCGACCATGGTGTGCCTTCAAGTGTATTAGCACCTGCCAACTGTGGTCACCTGGTGAGGAAAACGTCAGCATCTCTAGTGATAGAGAGAGAAATAGGGTCCCTTTGTGATCCTCAAGGTAAAATTAGTTAGGGTTGCTGTCATATACCCCCTGTCAGGGGATGGATTTTGTCAGGCAGCTGATGTGAGGACTGGTTTTATTATGTGCCTGACAGATTCCTGCGCCAGCGGACAGGTGTGGGGGTGGTCATCTCTGGCTGTTGCGCGAGGACGCTTTCCCTGCCAGGTGTCCCTCAGCACTCATTCCTGGCACCTGGATCCTCTTTTAAAGGAGTGCCCCCTTAGCACTGACTGACTGCACGGCTCTAGGGGCTGTGGGTTTCTTTGGATATTTGACTTCATGGTGAGCGAATGGCCACTTGCTTGGGTTGGTGGTGTCCACTCCAGTGCTGTTGCTGTGATGGCTTGTGCTCTAGGCTTTCTTAGATCATCAGCTTGGCAGTGACCTCCATGTGGTACTTTGGAGGAGGATGCACGGCTATGAAGAGGCACTGTGGACGTGGCCACCGTGCAGTTTGTGTAGTGAGGGATGTCAGAGTGCGGTGCTGCTTAGAGATTCAGGAGAGAGGACTGCTCTTGGGCTTGCCTATGGGATGGGAGACTGGGCCGTGATCTCATGTCTCCGAGACCTGTCAAACTCTGAGGGGAGGCTCCAGATCTGCCTTAGTGCTCTGGCGCTTTGGGCACAGATCCCAGATAGACACCTTCAACGTAGACCAGAGATTGGCCTCCTGGGCTCTTCCTGCGCTGCACCATGTTCTTACTGGGCCCCCCAGAGGGGACTGGTTCCTGCACTGGAAACCGGTTCCAAGAACTCAAGTAAGCCGATCCAGAGAGAAAGGCCAAAAGAGAAACTGTCTCAAAAGCACTTCGGGCTCTCTTACCAGCAGGTCGGCCTCTTAGCACCCAACTTCTTGGTGGGTCCGGCTCTTGACTTTCTTGGAATTCCTCTGTCCCGAGGGTGGAACTCCCCCCCAGGAGTTTACCACCGAGAGTCTTCATACAGTGGGCAAGTGCCCGGAGTTGCCCACTCCGGTCAGGGCTCCTGGTGGTGCTCTCTGCTGTGGGTGATACCCCCCCTCCCATCCCCCCAAGGGAGGCTGAATCACAGTGCCATGTGCCAAGGGCCCTGGAGACTGCCTGGCTCACTGGCGCTTTTTTGCCTGCTAGGTCTGTGACATGGGCAGTTTCCTTCTTTCTCTGGGCTTCAGCTTCCATGTCTTCAAAGAGCAAATAGTAATAGTCCTATGTCTTGGGGTATGTCAAGCATCTAGCACAATTCCTCATGTTTAACTTTTTTCGTTTATTTTTGTTTTTTGTCATAGCCAGTGGTTTACTCAGATCATTTGAGCTGGTGAGACCCAGGGGACAGCTTCCAATTCTTAGTTCCTTGGCCAGTTCTACAGTGAAGCTGTCAGTTGAAGGGCAGCAGGCCAAGTAGGAGAGGGTGCGCGCGCATCTCCATTGTTGTGTTGCCTCTCATGTGGCACCACGGGCAGTACCAGCTCCACACGGGGCTGCGCATAGGACCCTGCCCGCAGGGAAGCACGGGGAGCGGGGAGAGAGAAAAGCGTATCTCTGACTTTATTCAGCCCGCGTTTTTATGCTTGGAAGTGACTGCGCTGTACCAAGAGAAGGAGGGTACCAAGAGAAGGAGGACACCAAGAAGAAACAGATTAGAAGAGCAAAACTAGAGAAGTAAGCCTCTCCCCTCCCCACCCCCATGCCCCCCAGCACAGGTGCTGTGTTGTAGGCAGTATACAACCTGCACGGCCGCATTCGGCAGCCCTGCCTGCCACGTGACCCCACATAAAACGTGCTGCTTTCCTTGGTGTCGTTGTTCAGACTGTCCCCCTCCGTCGCTTGTCCGGTGAGCACTGTGTGTCTTTTAAGACTCTTCTGTGAAGTCTTTCTTATTCCTCTTCCCCTAGTGGATTTGACTACTTCTTCCTCTGCTGCCCTCCTCACCCCCGAACTGCTCCCCCATCCCCCAAGCAGATTTTTTAAAAGTAAAACCATGGCTTTATCAGTATTTTCATGCCAAAATCAGGATCACATATGTTGGAGCTAAGAAGGGATCTATGCTAAGTACAGGTACTTCCAGACAAATTTCAAAGGATGAGCATTTTCTCTCTCTGCCAAGCAGGTTCTGGCATAGCCCATTTCATTGTACTTATTTTTTAATTTTCCTCTCATTAGCATGAGTTTATTGAGGGCAGGAACCAAGACATACTTGCATTTTTACTTCGGACGTGACCCACAGTGCCTGTCCGTTGGAGGCAGGTGCCGTCTATGGTGTTTGCGCAAGAAATGAGTCAGGGACTCTGAGGACTGTAGCTGAGGACTGAAGAGTTGGGGAATCTCATGTAAAGCATCTTCATTTGGCCATGGTTTTCACGCCTGCTGTGTGCTGGGCACCAGGGCTGCACCGGTGGGCAGGACCGGGCAGCGGGGTATGGATGTGTGTGGGTCGCTGCAAAGTTGGGCTCTTTTTCTCAGTCCTTCATATACTCATGCATCTGGAGGTGCAGTAGGGGCCTCAGCTCTTGGCTCCAAAAGTGCTTATCCTGCCGGAGGGGGGCGGGGGCGGGTGTGTGTGTGTGTGTGTGTGTAAAACAATTCTTTCTTGGACAAATGTTTTATTAAATATGTATTGTGCCTATTTTCTTAAATCCCTTCAGATGAGGTTTTTATGTCATTTTATGAATTTACTGAAGGAGTCATGTTTTCTACATGTCTTTCCAAAGTTTCTAGGGAAGAGGGGTTTCCTTTCACTCACCTGAGAATGGTCTTTAGCAACATCAAGCAGCAGAGGGCGCTATAATTCAGGAGATGAAGCCACAAAACATAGTTCATTGATGTATTATTTTTTAACGTGGAAGCTGTGGAGATGCTATATACCTCCTCTGTGAAAGCATATAGCAAGCATCTTTGTTAATAAAGGTTAACTGCAGTCTTTTAAAATTTGTATCTTGTCTGAAATGAAAGGAAATTAAGATACTCATGGGAAACAGTCACGTAAATATAGGCAAAAGTAGGCTAGGGACGTTTCCTGGAGTACTTCCAGTCCAGAACTGGTTCTTTAAGACTGTAAAAAATGACTGGCTATTTAAGGTCATAGATCAAATCAGCAGAGGACATCATGTGCTTTTCATGTAAGCCTGCTGGTAGGAAAACAACTGGGGGAAAATGGGACTTTTGCTCTTTGATGGCTGAGAAACATCGAGATTGGATGTTTATGTTTCCTAGACATGAAGATGAGAATTTTTTGTGGTCCTAGGTTCTAATGAATTTTTCGTTCCTTGGTATGTGACTAGTTTTGCTGCATTTCCTAGGACCCCACCGAAAAAGGGTTACTGTGGAATAGAGATATTGAAGACTTGAAACTTCCAAGAGTTCTAGATGATAGGAGTATGGTTAGAAGGAAAGGAAGAAACATAAGACTTTCTTAACTTAGAAGGCCACTAAGCCTGTTTAGTTAGTTATATGCCAGGGAGTTTTTGTTGTTTTTTTCACCTTTTAAAATAGTTTTATTGAGACACACTATATATATCATAACATTCACCCACTTAAAGTTTAAAATTCACCAACTTTTAGATTGTTCATTGCTCATGTATAGAAATGAGGAAATGTATAGAAATACATTTGATCTTTGTTATTGATCTTGTATTCTGCGTCCCTATTTGACTTGTGGATTAGTTTTATTATTTTCCAAGTAAATTACTTAGAATTTTTTATATACAGCATCATGTCACCTGCAACTTCTTTACCTTTCTCTCCAATCTGGATGCCCGTCCCTCTGTCCGTCCATCTGTCCTCCCTCCCTCCCTCCCTCCCTCCCTCCCTTCCTTCCTTCCTTTTTCTTAATTGCCTTGATTAGAACCTCTAGGACAATGTTGAATAGATATAGTGGGAGTGGATACCCTTGTCTTGTTTTGGTTCGTAACAGGAAACTTCGAGCCTTTTACCATTAAATGTGGTGTTAGCTGTGGATATTTTGTAGATGCCCTTAACAGGTCAAGTGGGTTCCCATTTGCTCCTAGTTTGTTGAATATCTTTATTATGTAAGAGTGTTGAATTTTTTCAAATACCTTTTTTGCATCAGTTGAGATGATCATTTTGTCCTTTATTCTAAGTGGTGTATTCCATTGATTACTTTTCAGACGTTAAGCCAACTTGTGTTCCTAGGATTTTTTGCGTCTATATTCACAAGGATTGTTGATCTGTAGTTTCTTTTCTTGTGATAACCTTCTTGGGTTTTGGTGTCAGAGTAATAGTAGTACTGGCCTCATAGAATGAGTTAGGACATGTGTTGTTGTTTTTTTTGTTTGTTTTTTGTTTTTTGGAAGAGTTTGTGGAAGATTAGTATTAATCCTTAAATGTTTGGTGAAATTCAAAAGTGATGCCATCCGAACCTATCCTTTTCCTTGTGGGAAGTTTTAAAATTAGTAATTCAATTAATTTGTTATGGGTCTGTTCAGATTTTCTGTTTGTTTTTTAGTCCAATTTGGTAGTTTGTGTCTTTCTGGGAATGTGTCCATTTCATCTAAATTATCTAGTTTTTGGTCAAACAGTTGTTCATGGAATTCCTTTATAATCTTTCAGTTTTTTCTGAGGTTGGAATTGATGTCCCTCCTTTCATTTTTGGTTTTGGTAATTTTATCATTTCTCTTTTTTTTCTTAGTCTAGCTGAAAGTTTGTCAGTTTCATTTACCTCGCTGCCCACTTTTAAAATTGTGTCAATGATAATAATTTACTTTCCTTTCCTTTTAGGATTGATTTCTTTATCCCAGGAGTCTCTGTGGTTGGTGGGTTCTCAATATGCTCCAGCCCCAGACTGCTAGAACAGGAGAGAATAATAGAATTGGCAGTGAAATATACGAACCACCCTCCTGCTCTCTGGATTCACAATCAGGTGAGCAAATCTCTGTTTAAATTTGCAGATTAGGGCATGTCTGCCTCCCACGAAATTTGTGTTTGCCCATTTAACCTAAAAACCTAGGCTTGAGTGAGAAGGGGGCGTGCTCATGAAGAGCCCCCTTGCATCCAGAATTCAGACTCCAAAAAATCAAAGAAGCAGAATCTTATTGGTGCATTAAAGGTGACTCAAGGATACTTGGGGATCTGGAAATTTCTTCTCGGTCACCAGGGTTTAAGTTGAATATATTGTAGGAGTAAAACATTTTACTTTATATGTAAGGTTTTGGAAATTGGTTCTTTGTGTGTCTTGTAAATGGTAAGTCTATAAATCAGACTATTTTGTCTTAATTGTCCTAAATAAAGGGTATTAAACTATCATTCTTTCGTTATTTGGAGGGAAGACTGTCCCTGATTACATACTGCTCGTGTCCAGAGCCGAGCACCCTGTGGTGCTGCTGCCTCTCCACTTCAGCCTCCCGAGAGCTCTTCGCACAGGAGTCCAAAAGGGAATCCACATTTGCTGCTAATAACTCATGCTTCCTCAGGGGACTCCAACGCAGTCCTACGTAAGCTGCACGTTCATTCCCTATTAGAACTCTGAAAGCAAAGAGGGAGCTCAGAGCAGGTCAGTTATTTGTCATTTTAGTTTTTGACCTTAGTGTTTTCTTTACTGCCATCCCCTTCACTTCTCAATTGTGCCTACTTTATTTAACAACAACCTGTCCCACCCCAGGCATTTTCTTATCCCCTTTACCAAAAAGGAATGTACCAGTACAAATATTATAGGTACTGATAAACTGATTTTAAAATTTATATTGAAGGGCAAAGGAACTCCAATAGCTAAAACTGTTTTGAAAAAGAAGACTAAGCCCTGGCTGGTGTGGCTCAGTGGATTGAGCATCAACCTGCAAAACAAAAGGTCACCAGTTCAATTCCCAGTCAGGGCACATGCCTGGGTTGTGGGCCAGGTCCCCAGTTGGGGGCATGCAAGAGGCAACCATCTGATCGAGAGATCTCTTGCACATCAATGTTTCTCTCCGTCTCTTTCTCCCTCCCTTTTCTCTCTCTAAAAATAAACATAAAATCTAAAAAAGGAAAGAAAAAGAAGACTAAAATGGGAGGAATCATATTACTCAAATTTAAGATTAAAATACAGCTGCAGTAATCAACAGTGTGGAACACAGATCAAAGGAACAGAATAAAGAGTTCAGAAATAAACTGACACACATATGGCCATTTGATTTTTGACAAAGGTGTTAAATTCAGTGGAGAAAGGATAATCTTTTCAACAAATAGTGTTGGAACAATTGTCTATCCATATTAAAAAAATAATCTCTCATACTGTATGTTCAAGATTAAATCAAAGTAGGTTGTGGATCTAAATATAAAACATGAAACTATACAAGCTTTAGAAGAAAGCATGGGAAATAATCTGAACTTGAGGGCAGGCAGAGTTCCTAGACATGACACCAAAAGTAAGATCCACAGAAGTTTGATATATAGACTTGATCAAAATGTAAAACTTTTTTCTGCAAAAGACATTAATAATAATTAAAAAAAAAAACAAACTGTAGACTAGGAGAAAGTATTTGCAACTTAGATTTCCAGCAAAGATCTTGTATCCAGAATATTTAAAGAACTCTCAAAAATCAGTAATAAGTATAATGTAAAAAAGGTCAAAGGATTAAAGAGACACTTTACTAAAAAGGAGATAAGGATGGCAAATAAGCAATGAAAAGACTTTTTACATCTTTTAACAATCATTAGGGAAATGCAGAGTAAAACTGTTTATAGTGGGATGTCTCTATGGACCTATTAGAATGACTAAAATTAAAATTTTGATAATGTCAAGTGCTGCCAAGATTGTGGAGCAACTGTGAATCTATTGTATTGCTAACTGGAATGCAAAACGCTAGAACCATTCTGGAAAGCATTTGGCAATTTTGTATGAAATTAAATATACACTTACCATAGGACCCTGCAATACCATCCCTGGTATTTATACTAGAGATGTGAAAGTTCTGTTCATATACAAAGCCTTTATGTGAATGTTTATATCGGTTCTATTCATAATTATCAAAAGCCGGAAACACCCCAAACGTCCCTTAATAGGTGAATGGATAAACAACCTGATAGTTTCATACATCGTGTTGTTATTTAGCAGCAAAAGCATATGAACTATTAATTGAAGGCACACAACAACTTGGGTGACTCTTAGAGGCATTATGTTGAGTGAAGGAAGCTAGTCTCAAAGGTTATGTATTGTATAATCCCATTTATGTCACCTCTGGAAAACAAAAATCCAGTGGCAGAGAACAGATCAGTGGTTGCCTGCCTGTTCTCTACTGAGAGGTGGGGGAGGGTGTGAGCGCAAAGGGATGAAGCACAGGGGAGTTTTTTTGGCGGGGGGCGGGTGAGGGAACTGTTTTTTATCTTGATTCTGGTGGTAGTGACACAGATCTATGTGTTAAAATTCATTGACCTGTGCACCAAGAAAAGTTTTACTGTAAAATAATTTTAAATATAAAGGATTTTTAGATCTGTGGGGACATAAAAATATATGTTCTTCTTGTGGTTTACATGTCAAGTTGCTTGTGTTCAGAATAATCCGCAGCTGCTTGCCTTAGCATTTCCATTGTGAATGTATCCTGTCCCATTTTTACCCTCTGACCTCTGAGTCCTTCCTTCGGTGTAACCTCAGCTGTGTCATTCCTTTTTAGATTCTCTGTGGATTTTCACCCATTCCTATCTCCAGGCTACACCCTGAGTCTAAAATAGGCCGCTGGGGTGGGGCCAGCAAGGTGTTTGTGTGCCCCGTGCTTGCTGTCAAAATGAGCTTAGCTACCTGGCTCCCGGTGCCGCGAGCCCCCTCCAGTTGTCAGCCTCCCACGTGACCTGACCTGGTCCTGGTCCATAGCTCCCTGCTTGGTTTCATGCCTCATTGGCATTTCAATGAAGGAACTTATTCTTAAAGGCTGTAGAAAATCTCCAAGTGGCATTGCTTGAATGCACATCCTAATTGTAGTGCTTGCTCCACTCGGCCCAGTGGGCATTGCAGACGGCCTTTGTGAAGTCAGATTTTTCTTGGAACCATTCTCAGGTGGCTGTATTCCTCCTGAGAATTTGTCTTATTAAGCCGTTAGAGTGGACAATGGGGGCACGTGAGTGTCTGGGTGGCAGCAGGCTGCTCTGCTGGGACACGGGATAAAGTGCCATAAATGTCTTCCTTTATTTTATCTGCTTTGGCTGAAACTCCTGGCAGGGTAAAGGGTTCTAGACAGCTATTGTGCCTCTGCTCCCGTTGCTGTGGAAAAGTTGTTTATTTCCCAAGTAGAAAATCCATACTCAAATTAGATACATTGCTATGTAATTGAAGGTAATGTCCTTTTACTCACTTTCATATTGTACTATACAGACTGCGAGTCTTGTGCTCATGCTACCCTGGCAGTTTTTATTGATCAACAAAAGACAAAGATGGCTTTTGATTCTTTCCAGATGCTAGCAAATTAGAAGATAGATCTCCTGAAGATTATTTTGTCACTAAGGAGACGACAGGCTGCTTGAGTATTATCTTTCCCTGGAGCACGTTTTCTTGCCAACTTTAGGATTGAAAATACTGCGGTTTCTAAAAACAATAACCTAAAGGCTTTGTTTGTTTTCATTACTAAGCATGCTGAGATGACCATTTGAAAAGATTATTTCTCTCTCATTTTATAGTCTCTTTTACTCTTAGGTTCTTACAGATAAAGAGATCAGTGTACAGGCAAACGAGAGGGGGAGGCAGGGTACAGAAAGAGTAAATCCACTGTCATTGTTAGGCAGAGACTCTTGTATCATAAATTCTATTTTTCAGACTTGAAAGGAAGCAGTATTTCAAAGCACTTACATAGCCAGTCTAGGGGTTCCTACATTTTAATTCTTACTAACAGAATGCTCCCTTACTGCTAATTTCTTTTGTCAAAAATGAAAACCACTTATCATCCTCATGTAAAAATCTCTTATTTAAAGTAGTTAAATTCAGATTTTTTTTTCCTTTCCTCAGAGAAAGGATTTCCATTCATTTAACAGTTCTTTACCAATAAGGACCTGCTTTGTGAATTCAAATAATGTTTCATTTTTTCTTAGACTTTCTCTGAGATTAACTCTTTTTTTAAGTGATTGAGTCCCAACAACTTACAACGTCACGTCAGAAAGTACTTCCTGCGCCCGGCGCCAGGTGTGCATGCTAGAGGTCTGGTCTTCAGAAGCATGTGGTGCATTACTGCTTCTTAGCAGAGAGTTCATTCAGTTGATTTATGTCAGGAACATGTAATGGAACAAACCTATTCTCTCAATATAAATTTTTTTATTTCTAGATTCTGATGTGTTGTTTTTTTTTCAGTGACAGGAAAGAAGGAAGCAGCACCCCCAGCACTTTCCCTTCCAGACAGCCGCAGTGAACACCATACCCTCTAATATGGAGCTTAATTCTCACAAGGTGTTACCCCCAATGTGTGTCATGTAATGCCCACCACGGCCCTGTGGGGTGAGCAGGACAGGTGCGGGGACCCATTATCCAAAGGCGGCTGCAGAGGCTTAGAGAAGTAAAGGGACTCGCTGTATTTCATAGGGGCTGTGATTAAAACTCAGTCTTCCGAACCCTAGATGATGGCGTTTCTTCTCCAGACTACATGTCCTCCACTCTGTTAGATCCAATCCCCCTTTCTAGAACTATCCTGAAACCAAATCCAACGTTAATGTAATCAACACATTAAAAAAAATTTTTAAACAAATACAGTTTATTGCACAAAATTTAAGGAATTCCCAAGCACGCTTGAATTTATTTTTAAAAAAAAGCAACATGCATTTTAAAGTTATAATTTGTGTCCTGACTGGGTTGCTCAGTTGCTTGGAGCATCACCCTGTACACCAAAGGGTCATAGGTTTGATTCCTGGTTAGGGCACTCACCTAGGTTGCAGGTTCGATCCCGGGTGGGGTGTGCATGGGAGGCAACCGATTGATGTTTCTCTCTCACATCAATGTTTCTTTGTCTCTCCCTCTCCCTTTCTCTCTCTCTAAAATCAATGGACATATCCTTGGGTGAGGATTAAAAACCAAACAAAAAAAACAAAAAATAAATAAAGTTACAATTTGCGTTACATGGTGACACCTTTCCCCTGAGCAGCCTTTCACCTGAGGACTCCCTTTTATGAGGAACTGTTTAGTAGAAATGAATAACTTAAAACCACCAAGTTTTCTATATCCTCTAAAACATTACCCTGAGGACCCTGTTGTAACCTGAGACCAGCGCACATGGGCTTCCTCTGGGACGTGGACACCGGACATGTGTGAATAAGGCTGAGTGTCTCACCCGTCACAGTGCTGTCCACGTGGCTAGGGTCCCTAAAGAAGGGACATTTCTCTTCAGACACACTAGTCTGTCTTACTGCCAGAAATCTTTACATGACCACATTTAATTTTTGTTAAGAAAGATACTGGCGAAGTAGAAATGTATGTCATGGTGACTTTGCAGTAAACTTAGACCAAGAAAGGCCTAAGCTGCGAGGGGCTTAGGGAGACTCTAACCAAAACACAGGTCTGGCTGCCTGTCACAAGGAAAGCAGAACACGTGAGACAGGTGCTGGTGCAAAAGGAAAGAGGTTTATTCAGGTGCCACAACCGGGGAGAACGGCGGACTCCTGTTTCAAAGACTGTCCCCCTTCCTAATGAAGCCCCAGTTCTCATAGAGATAGGGTGTGGAGGGCTCTTCTTCTGTCCAGTTACCTTGCTGTCTTGTGGAGCTCTCAGGCCCTGTCCATTCATCGTTCTAGCTTCTGCTGCGCCCAGTGTGAGAACCTCCCCCCTGCGCCATCTCGGCCAATGTGGGGGGCTCCCTGGCGCTCCCTGACTGTCTGTGTCATCAAGGCTTTCTAATGCCCTTGGCCGCAGGCTGACTTCCTAGGGAAAAAAATTTTTTTTAAATAACATAATTGTCCAAGTGTAATACAAAGGAGAAATAAAGGGAGGTGATCCATAACCAAATGTAATGTATTTCATTATATGAACAGTTGGGCATATCTAAACCAAGAGATGAATGAGATAGACAGATGGCTTTTCCTCAGTGTAGAGTCACCAAGAACACACTGTCTACGAATGCAGATGGTACAGGTGGTTGTATGTTAAAGGACCACACACACGTTACCAACTGGGATGTGGTTTTCCAGAATAGTGAACATGCTTGGTGAAATTCCGTGTACCACAAAGTACAGTCTACATGGCAGCTACATTCTAGAAAATTCAGCCCATGTTAGATCCGTACAAAAAAGCCCACAAAACTTAGAGGTTTTTTGGTAAAATGAGTTGGAGCCTAGTCTCAGATCATGAACAAACCGGTTTTCACCTCTATATGTATGTCCCCTGGGTCATTCAGAAGTCGGAGCTGGGCAGTCCTGTGCACTGCAGGTAATGGGGTGCCGCTAAACCAGCTCTCTGAGTGAAAGAAGCTCTGATTTGTACATTTGCTGGTTTCTGTGCTGTAAACACTCCCACAATAGCTCATGTCAAACTAGCAGTAGATCCTGGCTCACAGAATTCCGGCACATTTAACCATTAGCTTGGTAGGCACCAGCTCCAGAACAGTGCTAACTGCATAGGACACCTGGCATCTCTGGCCCTGCCCTCTACATGCCAGTCGGGTTCTCCACATTGTGACAGTAAAAAAGTGTCACTGCAAGTATTCAAAAGAGCTCCCTCAGGGGCAGTATCACCCTTATGAAGAAAACAGTGCATTCAGCTCCGTGTCTGGTGTAAGTGACTTCACAGAACAGTAGGTACTTTACGTGGGTAGGTGTATGTAGTACTCACCCCCTGGTGTGAAGCCTCAGGCTTCCTGTTCTTGCTGCTCCAGGGGAAGGGGACAGGACTGAATGGTGCTGCGCGCTGGCCCCCGGCCCCAGTCTGGGGGGCAGGTCTGGCTGTGCCCTGCTGGCGACTAGAAGGAAGGGCCCGGGACCCACACTGCTCAGCTCTGATGAACCCAGGGCAGCCACAGTTAGTGGCCCTTGCCCTGTTCTACCTCTCTCAGCTCCGTGGCTTTGATCAGAACAGGAGCTCCACTCAGAAAAGGAAACTCATACCTTAGAGCTGTCCCCGGTGCCTCTTTCCACAACCCAGTTCCTCACCTACGTAGTTAACAAATGGCCAAATTACTCAAGCGAGTCTCCTTCCCTCAATACTGGAGCAGCTGTGCAGTGCAGATCACAAGGCAGAGTAGCAAATGGCCTATGTAATGGACAAGTGGGTTCAATTCAAAGGGCCCTGGGAACCTTGAGAGCAAGCTGTAAAAACAGTCCTAAAATACTGATGAAAATGCTGGAGGTAGACACAGTCAGCTTCACTAAAGAACATTGAGTTTAAGACCTGTGCTACAAAGGACTCAAGGATCTTTTCTTTCCTGCCTAGTGTACACTTGACTCTGAAGTGGCCCTGAGAGTGGGTGGAGAGTTCTTCTTTGACCCTCAGCCTGCAGATGCCTCTAGGAACCTCGTGTTGATTGCAGGAGGAGTCGGAATTAACCCTCTGCTTTCCATCCTGCGGCACTCGGCGGACCTCCACAGAGAATGGGCAGACAAAGGAAGCGGATATGAGATAGGAACAGTAAAACTGTTCTATAGTGCAAAAAATACCAGTGAACTGCTGTTTAAGGTAAGGGAGAAATGTATGTTCCATCGCTTGCTGTGAGCAAATGTGATATACTAATTGTCCGTGGAACTTTCCTTTCTCAGATGTTTTCTCTGCAATAGTCTTAAGCTAATCATGTTCAAATGAGAATTAACCAACACATCTTCCCAGGACAATTGAAACAGCTAGTGTTGAGGAGGCTCTCAGTGACATGACAGGATAGGACAGGTCTGGTGGGCTTGAACTTGGATGAACGGAAAAGTCACCACGGCCCCGAGACTCTGTAAAGAGTCAAGAGACGCACAAGCGGGCTCAGGCGTTACAGGAGTTGGTGAGACCTACATCGTTGGGACCCAGCTGGGGAAATGAAACCCCCATCAGAGCATCTGTTGACACGAAGTGCATTTGATGGAGAAGGCTTTTACTCTGGATTGCTTTGCAGCTGCAAGGATGAACAAAAGAACAGAAACAGTTAAAAGACACAAGTGTGGTCAGTGAAACTGCTGCTTAATTGCCAAAGCTTGAGAAAAAGGAAAAAGAAAAAACTCCCAGAGAGTTAGTAATATGCTTGTTAGCATATTCAGATTTCAATTAAAGCCATATAGCCCTCTGTACTCTGAATGCTCTGGCCTGCGAGGCTGCAAACAATATCTCTCTAAGTAGAGAGCAAGAGCGGCAGACGTGTGTAGAATGGGAGGCGAGGTTCGGCGTCAGTGGTTGTGCACATCTGGTTTGATTTTTTAAAATTGTAGTGTGACCAAATATGTTTGACATTCCAGAAAAATATCCTCGATTTAGTAAATGAATTTCCTGAGAAGATTGCATGCAGTTTGCATGTTACAAAGCAAACTACACCAATCAGTGCAGAGCTCAAGCCATACATCACGGGTGAGTCCCCTAAAGATATTTTGACTATCTCCACATAGTTACTTGGTGGACATGCCAGTTGGTTCAGTGTAGACGCTTTATTGTTCAGAGTCGCTGGCTGGGAATATCACTATCTGGGGAATTGAGAGGTGATTCATCATGGGACAATAGGAGAGATTTAGTTGGATTTACTTATTATATACAGTTTTCTTACTCCCCACGTTAAAAATTTATTTTCCACATTCTTTAGGGGGCCCATGCATCATCACTATAGTATGCATGCAAAGAATTTGTATTCCAGGCTTGACTGAATGATGCCATTTGCCATTAATGGTAATTTAAATTACTTGTGGTTTTCCCTGCCTGGAAGGATTTTTCACAAAAACAGTTTCTTTACTTTGCTGAAGGCAGTTTTGAATCTCTACCAAAGAGCAGCAAGTTCACGCTCCTCTCTGAAGAGGGCATTACGATTAGCTTCCCCCTCTACTTGCCGTATGCTGAGGAAACCGGAGACGTACCGTGCTGGGGTCTGGCCCCAGGTGCCAACAGGAGCCGCGGTGTGAATGACTCAAGACTGGACTCACTGAGCTTGAGTTACTGAAAATAAACACTGTTGCTGAGTTGTGGTTAGTCTTTCCTCATCTCAGTGCAAACATGTCTGGCTTAATTTGGTGTTTATTCTGTTTCTTGGTAGAAGGAAGAATAACGGAGAAGGAGATAAGAGATCATATTTCAAAAGAGACTTTGTTCTATATTTGTGGCCCACCTCCGATGACAGACTTTTTCTCCAAGCAACTAGCAAATAGCCATGTTCCCAAAGAACACATTTGCTTTGAGAAGTGGTGGTAGGGCGCAGGCAAAGGTGTCAAAGAGAAGCTTATGAGATTCACTCAGGATAGTAAGAATTTGTGTTACGTGATTTGTGGCAAGATAAATTTCCCTCTACTCAGTCTTTTTTTTTTAAGGCTGTGAACAGTGACCTGCTGGAGAATAAAAGAAAAACCACCTGACAGACTAAAATGATCAACTTTTTGCAAAGACTGCATCGATTAAACTATTTTTTACTGTATTGATTTTCTTATATTAATCCTGTTTGATTATCTCATAATGTACCTCAAATTGGTCAATATAGATTTCTATAAGTATATAGACATAGTATACTTATATTTATTCAATCATGAAAATGTGGTTCTGTGTGTGAAATAAAGGCTATCTTTAAATTATTTGACGGCAGTCTGTGTATCTTTATTGAATAAACTTATAATTTAAACACATTGTTAATAATGTTACTTTGAAAATTCTTTGTACTTTAAGACATAGTTGACCTTACCATGGCCTGCAGCCTTACTTCTTCAGACCATCTGTGTTGGGTGTGGAAACAGAAAATTGTTAGGAAAACTACCGCTTTAGAGAATTGAATACCCAGCATATTTGCTTAATGTTAAAGAATATCTGAAGTATGTATCCTAAAGAATTGTTAGTTTCTTCTCCAATGAAACCCTTTCTGTGTTCTGTGCCTTGGCTGCCTGCCTTAACTCTGTGTGTAGGAGGCAGCTTCTCGTTGGGGACAGAGGCAGCGGTGACCGCTGTGTTCGCGTTGAACCTGCCCGCCGTGGCCGGGCTGGCTGGCTGTAGAGATGTGCTTAGGATTGATTGGGGGTATAGAGCCATCTCCAAACTCTGCTTCTCCGCTTTATTTCATTCCTTTGCCAGGGTCATTTCTGGCAGCAGCAACTCCTCAACACATACTTGTTCAGTGATTGAAAGAAAGCAACTAACGTCTAATTCCTTGCTCAGCCTGGAGGAGGAGGCAGCCCCCAGGGCAGGGAGAGAGCATGATGCAGCCTGGCCCCAAGGCTGCGCTGGTGAAACTGCTGGAAAGCAGGCTGTCCTCCTTATCTTCGTTTAGATTTTTAAAAATCCGAAAGAAATCTGCGGGGCGAGGCCAGGCCATCCTTTCTTGAGAAGCAGTGTTAGGCTGAAGGCTGCCTGTGCGGAGAACACCGTGAGGGTGCGTGAGTCTGGAAGAAGCACAGATCAGTGCTGGGGACCCAGGAGCTCCAGGGGAGGAGACTCTGTTCCTGAGCTGATGCGGGAAGACAGGTAGCCACCCCCACCGCCGACCTCTGGCTGCAGGCCTCACAGGAACTTCCGGGCTTCACTGCATCAGGACATTCGGGCCTGATGATGGCCGGCAGCATCGTTCTAGCCTCTGTTTTGAATTTTGTCTAGTTTTAAGCACAGATCATTTGACAGCTATTTCCGTTTTTTTGTTTTAAACTACAGTTGACATTCAATATCTTTTTATGTTTCAGGTGTATAGCATGGTAGTTAGACAGTTATATAATTTACAAAGTAATCCCCCATTCCCTATGCTGTACTTCATATCCATGACAGTTTTGCAACTGCCAGTTTATACTTCTTAGTCCCCTCACCTTTTCCCTCAGCCCCCCAGCCTCCCCCTCCCATCTGGCAACCATCAGTTTGTTTTTTGTATTTATGAGTCTGTTTCTGTTTTATTTATTTCATTTTTTAGATTCCACATGTAAGTGAAATCACGTGGTATTTGTTGTTCTCTGTCTGTCTGACTTCACTTAGCCTAATGCCCTCTAGGTTCAAGTCCCGATAGGAGTTCAGTGGGAAGAAAGAGGGGCCACGGACCTGATGGGACCATCAGCATCCATTCAAGGCAGTGATCATCGGCGTTTCAGAGGTGAGGGGGATGTGAGACGCTCTGGCCACTCTGAGGAGCCCTGACTCATCAGTTGACCCCCAAGTGCCCAGGCTGAGGGCTGAGCCATAGGGCTGAGTACTCGAGAGCATAGGAGCAAAGCCCTGTGTGATTGAGGGACGTGGGAGCAGCAAGGGCTCTTCCGCCAACGGGGCAGAGGCAGCTGGCGGGGGTAGGGGAGACACAAGGTACGGAGAAAGTGGCTCCCCAGACCTTGCTGTGTTGGCAGTGGAGGTGCAAAGTGAGCGTCTTCAGTGCCCACGGCCTCCACACACGCGACACCATGGCCTCTGTGCCTGCTGTTGTCAAAGAGCAAGGGCCGCTTGTCCTGGAGTTCCCAGCTCTGTCATCTGCCAGTGACTCAACTGTCGCCACCTGTAAACTGCTGAGATGGGCCAGGTCATGACTTTTGCCTGTAGTTCCTTCCAGCTCTGTTGTTTCTGGGGCTTAGTGCTGAACAGTATTTCTGGTCTGCTGGCCAAGAATGTCCTGTTGCTCTTGTTCACAGAGCAGTCAAGATCCCTGGTACTCACCCTGAGTTGACTCCAGCCAGGGCGCCTTGGAATTGTTATTGTGGTGCCTGAGAATGTAGACCGGAAAGAGCCATGAGCCAGACTGCCTGGGTTCAAATCTCAGCCATGCCACTTACTAGAGAGATGATCTCTAGCAAGTCACTTAACTGCATTATGCCTCATTTTTTAATTACATGTGCACACACTTGTATCTGCAGGTGGTACTACCTACCCCATCAGGCTGTTACAAGATGAAATGTGATTTTATATACATATATATATATATACATACATACACACACACACACACACACACACACACACACACACACACACACATATGATGCTTGGCAGAGCACTGCCTGAGCGTACAATTAATATGCTGTTCCTTGTCCTACTCAGAAAGGATTTCAAGAGGTTGGATGGCTTATGTTTAGCTCACTAACCTGAAACCTTCATGTGGGTAGGTCCCCGTTTTGTTCGGCGCTGTGCTTGGCACATGTTAGGTACTTAATAAACATTTCTTACGAGGGTGAAGGGCCTGCACAGAGCTGATGAGTCGTACTAAAGGAGTTCTTAGGGGTTCTGGGCCTGTGAGTGTATGAAAAGATGATTCTTCTTGTGACATGAGACCCTTTCACAGTCTACTAGAAATAGTTTAAGCTGATGGAGGAGTCTTTCTCAAATTTGAGAGTGAGTATGAGTACCAGGGCTCACCAGGAAAATGGATCAAATGCCTAAATAGTCCACCATCGAAGGGGCTTGCTGGGAGACACAGAGCCCTTCCTCACCAACAAGGTGTCTGAGGGTGGACATCAAGCAACGATAAGGATGTCCCCTGGGACCCTGGTTGTAGTCAGTAGTTCCTACTTTAAAAAAGAGATCTTGGGAAAGTTTTCAAAGACACGCCAGAGTAGAGAGGACAGCAGAATGGACTCCTGTGCGTCCATTGCCCGTCATCAGCAATTATCACTGTCGTGGGGTTTAGTTTTGTCTCCTCTCAGCTTCATGATTGTTGTTGCCTGGTATATTTTGAAGCAAATCCTAGAAACTATCATTTCACCCTATTCTTCAGCATATCTCCAGCTGTATCGCCAACAGATCTATCACCTTAACACGACCACAGGACCAACATTATATCAACACAAGCAGTGATGACTCCTTAATATCAACTAAGACCTTTCTGCCTTGTTTTCCCCATTGCCTCAAAGTCCACACACTGCATTTGGCTGATAGGTCTTTTAAGTTCCTTTCACTCGATGGCACCTTCTTTCCACTGCTCACACACACGAAGACACTCTTTGCCCCCGTCATATGTTTGTTGAAGAAGCTGAGTCATTTGTCCTTAAAGACCTTCCCACATTTTGAACCCGGCCCTCTTTATCCTCAAGGTGTCAGTGTGATCCTCTATCCTCAGTACTCTGTAAACTGGTAATTAGACCTAGAGCTAATTTAGATTCAGATTCAAGATTTTTTTTTTTTTTTTTTTGCAAGACTGCATTGTAAGTGGTGGTGTGTGCTTCCTATTTCACACATGAGGAGGTACATAATGTCTGATTCTCTCACTTTTAGTGTCATTAAGATTGATCAATGGGTTCAGCTTTTGTCAGCCTGATCCATCCAATGTGAGGCTCTCTGTCGACCTTTCACCTAATTATTTTAGCAGCTGTCGATCAGTGCCCATACCCATGATTTTATTAAGGATTAATTGCCCATTTCTATCATTTTCCTGCATTTATTACCTGTCATTGTTCTGTAGAGAACTTTCCCTCATTGACTTTGCCCTGAGATGAGTATGAACAGGAAAGACAGGATCAATGCTTGATTCTCGCCCTTTTCAAAAATCAATTAGCCTGCTATGAGCTGGTGCCCTAGCAACCTCCAAAGATGAGCAGATTTTTTAAAGTATCATTATGAACTCGTGGCTTTTTCTACATTGATTGTTTCTGTTCCTTATGGTCAGTTTTTTGATGTTCACCTTGTTTCAGGTTGCCCCTGCTGTGTGAATGGTCCATACCAAGTCGGGGTGGGTGGGGTTTGGGGCTCTTAGAGCTGTAAAAAGTGCTCTAATAAACAGGAAGAAGGAAAACAAGTGTGTGGTGTCAGGAAGCCACATGAAGAAAGTGTCTCAAAGAAGAATGAGTAGTCAGTTGTGTCAGGCTGCTGATATGACAGGAGACGTGAGTTCTGCTATTTCGAAACTGGAAGGTCATTGGTGATCTTGATAAGATGGATGTTAAGAGAGAAAATACTGGAGTGGGCTTCAGAACTGGGAGGAAATAAGTTGTAATGAGTGAATATAGGTAATAGTTCCAAATAATGTTACTATTGTATGAAGGGAAGAAGAAAAATGGGGATAGTAGCTGGAAAGAGAAATGGTGGTAAGAGAACTCCATTTTTTTTTTTTACTCATTTTTAAAAATTCGTTTTGTTTTTTAAACTTTTTATTTTGAAATAATTTTAGATTTATAGGAGACTTGCAGAGAGAGGACAGAGTTTCCTTTACCCAGCCTCCTTAAATGCTAACATCTTATATAACCACGTAAGATGGCATATTTATGAAAACTAAGACACACAGTACAGTTAAATTGATACAATCCTGTTAACTAAAGCACAGATGTTGTTGTTGTTGTTGTTGTTGTTGTTTTACGATGGGAGAGATAACAGACTGATGCTCTGACAAACTATCAAGAGACATTCAGTGGGACTCCAGCTGGGGAGGAGACGACCTTTTCTGGAGGATGATAAACTTGTTAACTGTCATTTATTGAGCATCTACGATGTGCCGATGTGCCGTCACTGCTAGAAATTAGAGATAAGAAAGTGTAAGGCAAAGGTTATCTTGAGGAGCAAGTTAAGTACTTTGGGGAACTATTTTTCATGAGGCTGAAACGTGGTAAAAGCCATCTTCTACAAAGGAGTATATTGAATACTGAGAATGTTGCAACAAGATTGACGGTAAAAA